GTCCTTCTGCTCCTCTTTCCCAACAGGGCATCCCCATCTTCTCCAGCCAATGCCACAATGAACAATTGCATCCACACTTCAGGAAATAGCACCCTCCTGTCTTCTTCCACCTCCAGCGTTACCGGCATTGTCTTCCTCCTCTTGGCTGCCACCATAGGGCTACCCGGAAACCTCTTTGTCATCTGGAGCATCCTTTGGAAAATGAAGCCTACTCAGCGTTCTGTCACCGGTCTGCTGGTCCTTAACCTGGCAGTGGCCGATAGCGTTGTGCTTCTCCTCACCCCCTTCTTTGTCATCTTCCTCATCTTCAAGAATTGGCTCTTTGGCATGGCCATTTGCAAAGGGATCTACTACTTGTGTTGCATCAACATGTTTGCCAGCATCTTCATCATCACCCTCATGAGCATAGACCGATGCCTCGCAGTCAATCAGCCTTACTTCTCCCAAGCCATACGTAAGAAGCAATTAGTGGTCAAGATCTTGGCGGGAATTTGGGTGGCGGCCATCTTTTTATCCATCCCAGCCTTCCTTTTCCGTCAAGTGCTGAAGGAGCCCTCACGGGGACACTATATCTGTGAGCCCTGTCATGCCAGGCCAAGCCTGACCATCTTCCACTTCACCTTGGAAACGGTGGTGGCCTTCGTGATACCTTTCACCATCATTGTGGGGTGTTATTCCGCCATTTTGATACGTCTGAGGGGAGTGAAGAGGAGGCGAGGGGCTCGGACTGAAAAGCTCATCATTGCCATTGTGATCTGTTTTGCTGTCCTCTGGGTGCCCTACCATATTGTCAACATGATCCAGGTGGCTTCAAACATGGCCTCTGGCAGGACAGCAGAACGGCTGGGGCAAGCCTGGAAGAGTGGGCGAGCAGGCGCCACGGCCTTAGCCTTCCTCAGCAGCAGCATCAACCCTGTGCTTTATGTCTTTGCTGCCGGGAACCTCATTAAGACCTCCGGGGCCAACTTCATCGCCCAGTTCTTTGAGGGGGCATCAGAAGGACTCGGCCGGAGGAGTCAGTCTCAGAAAAACCTGGCTAAAGATTTGGTAGTGGTGGCTGGTGCGGCTGTGAATATGGACCGACAGTCCCTGGGACACGGTGATGGGGTTAACAAGGTCACAGAATGTAAACCAGGTGAGGGAATGAATGAGCAACCTTTGTATCCTGGATAGAGAGATATTCCTGGGTTGAATCACTGTAGGTTTCAACACAAGACAATTTCTCATCTTACAAAGCTGCCTTCTGCTGACTCAATCTGTCTGGTTCCATATTTTTTGGCAACAGTTGGCAGCAATTCTCCATGGTGTCAAGCAGAAGAACCTTCTCTTCACTTTGGAGATACCAAGAACTAAACCCAAGAACGTCTGTACTCAGTCGGAGCATGCATTCTGTCACGGAACTGGGGCCCGTCCTCATCTGTCATGACCTTCTTGCCTTATCTGCTCTTCACATGGAAACGTGGTTTCTTGAAATTGCACTAAGGACACAATCCACACTACAAGGCCGCTAAATTATTTCCGTGGCTATTTTTATCTCCTGGCTGCTTCCCAACCACCCCATCCGCTCAGTATGAAGCACAGCGTCCTCTGCTTAACCCCAAAGAACCTGCTGTCAAGGTCAGACTTCAGATCTTGAATTTGTAAGAAGAATGATACAAAAACAGGTGATTTGGAGCCTATACTCAGTAAAATGTACAGCGTTCCTTCTCTCTGGCTTCAGGAAAAGACGTGTATCTGGAGGTCACATGGCCTCAGATCGCTCACTTTGTATGTACAGCTTCCCTTCAAGAAGTCCCTGGAAACTATGGTATTAATGCAAGAAATTGTCCTTTTGAGGGAGGGCGAATACATAGGAAAAGAAAAGAAAAGAAAAAAAAATACTCTGTCAGTTTCCTGAGAGGAAAATCCTAAAGTTCCTAGAAGCTTAAAGCAATGTCATGACATTTCAAACAATTACAGTTTGTAAAACGAGGCAATGAAAATGGTGAACAAGCAATTAATGTATTTTGGGTTTTTTTTTAATGTGCAAAGTTGATTATGTGACCTGTATGTACTTTTTTAAATCTCCAAGGTAACTTATGAGATGCTTTACGTCCCTCCTCTTCCCCGTTGTTACTGTACATTAAAAGGGATCATATTGTCTTATTTATAATATTGTATAAACACTCCGGACGTGGTTTCCACACATTACATGTGCCAACAAGCCTTGAGCTGAAGAATGGGAGAGGAATACTTTGGGTCCCAGAATGCTGTTCTGTTTTAGAGTGGATTAAGCAGGTCATTATATACATTTTCCCTTCAAAGAGCCTTTTCCTGCCTCTGCTTAAGGCGTGCCTCCATGGAATGGCCTCTGCAGATCTCTCAGAACATTCCTTTATTATCGGGTTGAGCAGTAAACCCTGACAAATGCTTGTTTTGGAAAATTCCAGTACAGAATCTGCTTAGAAGGGATTCTGTGTTTTACGGAAATGTTAGCCTCCCTTCAGCATGCCCCAAAGGATGGCCAAATCAGAGCCTTGGTGACTGGAGGTCTACAGGGCGTAAACGAACCATACGGTTTGGGATGCCAGCATTGTACCATCATCTGGGAACCTTTCTTCAGTTCTTTGTATAAGAGCATTACACAATCTAAAGTGGTGGACGTACAGTGGTGCCCCGCATAACGAGCAATTGGTTTGGGATGCCAGCAATGTACCATCATCTGGGAACTTCTTTCTTCAGTTCTTTGTATCAGAGCATTACACAATCTAAAATGATGGACGTACAGTGGCGCCCCGCATAACGAGCGATTCGTTTAACGACGAATCCGCTTAGCAATGTGTTTTTGCGATCCTTTTTGCTATCACATAGCGATGTTTCTAATGGGAAAACATCGCTTTGCGATGATCGGTAAGCGTTTCGCTTACCGGTTTTCGCATAGCGATGTTTTGGGAACAGTTGATCAGCAGTTCCAAAATGGCCGCCGGGTAATTCAAATGGCCGCCCGCAGCGTTTTTGCGCCCTTTTCAGCATTTTCGTGCCCTTTCCTCGCTTACCCAGCAGCGAAAATGGCGGCCGCATGGAGGATTTCCGCATAGCGGTGAGTTTACAGCCCATAGGAACGCATTAAACGTGTTTTAATGCGTTCCTATGGGCTTTTTTGCCCAGCATAGTGACAAATCCACATAGCGACGGGTTTTTTTGGAACAGATTATCATCGCTATGCGGGGCACCACTGAATATGAAATATAGATAACTACAAAATAAAATGTTGAGATAATTAGATTATTTTTGACCCGTAGTGGACTACTCCAGCAGCATTATCTCAGCCCGTTGCTAGATCTTCTTTTGGGGGGCTCTTCACGTGGACACTCGGGTTTCTTGAAATTGCACCGAGGACACAATTCACGTCATAAGACTGGTAAATTATTTCTGTTGCTATTTTCTATCTTCCTGCTCCTTCCCACCCACCCCACCCTCTCTACATGAAACAGGGCATTTATGGCATGCCTATAGGTGCTGCATGGATTGAATTTCTCCACAGTCACTGAAAACATATCCCGTTTCACTGATTATTCTTTGACTTTCCTACTTTGCTTTCAAGCCTATTGAGAGACTTCCAAATGGTCCAGCTGGAGCCTTGTCCTGGTGGGAGACACTCTTCTGCATCCATCCATTCAGCAAGGTGTGTTGTTTTTGTTCCCCATAGGTTTAGTCCAGCTTCTGTTTTAATAATAAGACACTGAGAGGTGGGCAGAAAACTTTTCCTCGATTTTAGCCATCATCTATGAAGTTGGTGTCCCCCAAGTGTGTGGGTTTGGTGCTGTGTTGCCTTATTTCATTCATTGTTTTGTTGAACCTTTTGAAATATTTCTAAAGAGGCCATCCCAGTCAAATAATAAACTTTTTCAATGGGTATAGGTTTCAGGCAGCCAGTAATAATCCTGCATGATTCGTCAAGAGCTATCTCCACTTGGCATGTGCTGATTTATACCATAGGGCACTAGCATAGTCTGCTGTGGAGTAGCATGGAGACAAAGCTGTTGTTGTTGTTGTGGGTGTGCACCCAGTCTGAGCTGAAGAATGGGGAAATAATGCTGACTTCTTGTGACTGTCATCAGGGTTTCAAGGTAAGTGAGATATTTAAGGAGGAGTTTTGTAGTTCTACTGCACCACTGCCCATGTGTTTCCATGGCTAAGCAGAGATTCAGACCCAGTCATAGAATCATAGAATCATCGTAGGGTTCCACTGCTTAATGGTTTTCAGTGTCAGGAAAGTCCTCCTAATTTCCAGGTTGGATCTGTCTCTGACGCGTTTCCACCCATGGGTTCTTGTACTACCCTCAGGTGCAACAGAGAATAAATCTATGCCCTCTTCCCTGTGGTAACCCTTCAGATATGGGGAGACTGCTATCATGTCTCCCCTCAGTCTTCTCCAGAGTATCTGCCCATCACTCTCTCCACTGCATCTCACTGGGTTTTTTTAAAAATGTAAATTATTAAAACACATCCATTCCTTTTTTCAGTCTTGTTGCTTAACAAAAACTCAGTGAAACATCTCAAGGTATCAGAAACAAACATTAGCAGCATCAAAGGGAGAGCAACAGAATATGATTCTTCATATCCAGTGCTCTTTGATAAGATGCTTACTTATCAGACCATCAAAATTGGGCCACCCTCTGCCAGATCTGCATTGATTTGGATTCCTGCCTTGAGCAGGGATTCAATGGCCTTATAAGCCCCTTCCAACTCCATGTACTCTCTCCGCTACATCTCACTGGGTTTTTTTAAAAAAAATGTAAATTTTTAAAACACATCCATTCCTTTTTTCAGTCTTGTTGCTTAACAAAAACTCAGTGAAACATCTCAAGGTATCAGAAACAAACATTAGCAGCATCAAAGGGAGAGCAACAGAATATGATTCTTCATATCCAGTGCTCTTTGATAAGATGCTTACTTATCAGACCATCAAAATTGGGCCACCCTCTGCCAGATCTGCATTGATTTGGATTCCTGCCTTGAGCAGGGATTCAATGGCCTTATAGGCCCCTTCCAACTCCATGATTCTATGATCAATGATGATATATTGTCCAGTGTCATATCCTTCCCTTTAAAGCAATAATAATAATATTCCAAGCATTTTACAACCAAGATTAGAAGGCCGTATCAGTCCTCCGGTTTCAGGGGTCGTCTATCAGATGTTGTATTATTTTGTTATTTTTATGGTTTTATTATTGTTGTAAACCACCCAGAGTAATAAATAAATAAATCAGTGAATACTAAGTTCTGGGTATAAACAGTAAAAGAATATTTGTTGGCTTTCTGGTTCATTTCTGAGGCTCCAAGAGCTTATCAACAGAGGTTGGTTGGTTGGTTGTTGTTTTTTTTAAGTAGATTTTCCAACCACACAAATGCTCCATAAAAACAACTCACACACACACACTCTCTCTCATACACACACACTAAAAGAAAATCCACCAACCCATAAACCATACCTTCATCTTTGATTATATCAGTGCTGTTTTAGCCACATAAGGTATTCACTCTTATCTACTCTTACAACGAGGAGTCATTCAGGAATCTGCCTTAGGTCATAAACAAAGTTATTTGGTGCCTCAGCCCGTGCTGCTAAGATTCTAGCTCACAAACACTTACTCCGCCACCAGCCCTAGCTTTCAGCATGCTCACACTATCAGCATTTCTACTCCGATGCCTGGTGTCTGATAGATAAAGCATCTACCCTCATCACCAACTGTACACAGAGGAGACAAAACAATATCCACCACTAGGCGGCACATGGGGATGTAATAGATGGACTTTTTTGCTTCTCACCAGCAGAGTTTATGGAGCAGCCAAGCTCGCCTCTGACTTATGGTGAACCGATGAATGAGCGAGTTCCAAAATGTCATGTCCTCAACTGCCCTGCTCAGCTCTTCTAAACCTAAGCTGAGTTTTGGTAGCCATTCCATCTCTTATTGGGTGCTCCTCTTTTCCTGCCACCTTCCACTTTTTCCAGCATTATTGTCTTTCCCAGAGAATCCTGCCTTCTCATGATATTCTCAAAGTAGGATAGCTTCGGTTTCAACAGTTTTGCATCCAGAAAAAGTTCGGACTTGATTTGATCTCGGACCCACTCGTTCGTCTTTCTGGCAGCCCAACGTACTCACAAACCTCTCCTCTAGCACATTTCGATTCTCCTCAGTTCCCTTAGTTATTCTTTTTCGAAGGCGATGGTGGAAGCATGATTTGACGAAAACTGGGTGGTGTCAGGGCTTATGGGTGTCACTAGTACTGTCCCAAGACAGAGGGGTGACATGTGTGCCCCCAGTACCATGACGCCTGAATAGGGTTAATGTAACAAGACTAATTTTGATCACACTTCAGGAGGCAGTGGAAGACAGGAGGGCCTGGTATGCTCCATGGGGTCATGAAGAGTCGGACATAACCTAACAACTAAACAAAACAAGAAGACCAATGAAGATTGGCCTTTTGCAGCATTGTTTAATCAACATTCTAATCAACATACATCTGCTTGTGCAGCTCAGCGGTGAGGATGATAGATGTAATAGAACCATGTTACAGTCTTACAACATTAAGGTAAAGATGAAGGCTCCCCTTGACATTTAGTCCAGTTGTGTCCGACTCTAGAGTGTGGTGCTCATCCCCGTCTCCAAGCTGTAGAGCCAGCATTTGTCCGTAGACCGTTTCCGTGGTCACATGGCCAGCACGACTAGACATGGGACGCCGTTACCTTCCCACTGGGGTGGTACCTATTTATCGACTCGCATGTTTACATGCTTTCAAACGGCTAGGTTGGCAGGAGCTGGGACAAGCGAGGGGAGTATCCTCTGTCGCGTGGATTCATTCTTACAATGGCTGGTCTTCCGACCTTGCAGCCCAGAGGTGTCTGCGGCTTAACTCGCAGTCCCACCCCGTCCCTTGCAATGTTACAGTCCAACCATAACAAAAAGAGATGCTGGTTCGTGTTTGGTACTTCCCAGTTCTACCTCCTCTAGTGGGCACCCACTCAAAGGCAGCACTAATTTCCCAGCCCCACTTCCTCCAGGCTCTGCCTCTGAGTGGGTCAGAGCAGGTGGGGCTAGAAAGCGCCAAACACTCATTCAGCCACTAAATGACTCAGCAGTTCATGACCTAAATCAGTGGTTCTTAACCTTTGTTACTCGGATGTTTTTGAACTGCAACTCCCAGAAACCCCAGTCAGGACAGCTGGTGGTGAAGGCTTCTGGGAGTTGCAGTCCAAAACTCCTGAGTAACCCAAGGTTAAGAACCAGTGACCTAAATCATGGCTAAAATCCCATTGTTTCTCGTAATAGGTCACAACTAGTATTGGCCCATTTTATTGAATGAAGATTATGAAGGACTTGACTCATACCAAACCCCAACTCAGTTCAGTGGGCCTACTCTGGTGTAGTGGTTCTCAAGCTGGAGGTCCCCAAATGTTCTTGGACTGAAACTCCCAGAAGCCTTCGTGACATGTTTTGCTGGCCAGTTGCAATCCAAAAACATGTGGGGACCCAAGTTTGGGAACCACCGCTCTAGTGGAACTTATTATGCTAAGCCACAAGATTTCAGCCAAGAAGCCATTGTCCTCGGATTTCCAATACTGTAATTTTTACCTTATTAGTAAAAAAAATTAAGCTGTTGCTCTTTGATTTCCCACCAACCTAGCGGTTCGAAAGCATGCAAATGCAAGTAGATAAATAGGGACCACTTCAGTGGGAAGGTAGCAGCGTTCCGTGTCTAAGTCGCACTGGCCATGTGACCACGGAAGATTGTCTTCGGGCAAACGCTGGCTCTATGGCTTGGAAACGGGGATGAGCACCGCCCCCTAGAGTCGAACATGACTGGACAAAAATTGTCAAGGGGAACCTTTACCTTTGATTTCAACTATTCTATGGAGAACCAGAAAAGTAAATAATTAACTTTTTAAGAACTGTGATGATAACAATATGTAGTTACTTCTATGGGGCCTTGCCCATATGATTGCAATGGTGTTATTCAAAAAACTTTGAAATGGGAATTCTCCATGGTGTCAGCCTGCAAGTATGATGCCCCTGGGATTGTGTTGCTGGTCGGCTAGGTCAATACGTTGGAGCCCAGGCTGCAGAGTGAAGGATTGGGAGTGTAGTTCCTCGATGTGCCTCCTTTGAGAAAAGCCACCCTGTGCATCTCTAAGGAAGCGGGGAGAGTCTTGGAACTTCACCAGATGCAGGGACTGTGAAAGCCCCTTTGGGCACTTTATACCTGGAAAGGTCAGGATAAGTTGCAGTTGATCCCAAGGCAACTGTTGTTGTTGTTTAGTCGACAAGTCGTGTCCAACTCTTCGTGACCCCATGGACCAGAGCAAGCCAGGCCCTCCTGTCTTCCACTGCCTCCCGGAGTTGGGTCAAATTCATGTTGGTCACTTCGGTGACCCTGTCCAGCCATCTCATCCTCTGTCGTCCCCTTCTCCTCTTGCTTTCACGCTTTCCCAACATCAGGGGCTTTTCCAGGGAGTCTTCTCTTCTCATCAGATGGCCAAAGTATTGGAGCCTCAGCTTCAGGATCTGTCCTTCCAGTGAGCACTCAGGCTTGATTTCCTTTAGAATGGATAGGTTTGTTCTCCTTGCAGTCCAGGGGACTCTCAACTGTTAGAGCGGTACAACAATGGAAGCAATGACCTCAGGAGGTGGTGAATTCTCCAACGCTGGAGGCATTCAAGAGAAAATTGGACGATCATCAGTCAAATCTATTTTGACTTGGATTCCTGCCTTAAGCAGAGGATTGGACTTGATGGCCTTATAAGCCCCTCCCAATGGCATTATTTTATGCTTTTATGAGTCTAGTTATTAATTGCTATTTAATTATCCCCAGATCGAGTTCAAAGGACTCACTTTCCTGTGAAGGACTCTAGATGCTGCTAAAGGGGAATGCTGCATTTAATGAAATCTGCTCTAATCTATGCAGGTTTATGCCACAGTTCAGTTATTACTGTCTAAGATCCCACAAGCCCTTTTGTTATGCTCTTCCGGCAACCTAGAGTTACCAAACCTTCCCCCCCTAGAACAGGAAATGAATCAGTCTTGACTCAGCCGATAGTTTTCTGGGCTCTGACATAAAACACCAGAGGGAGCTGTGTTAGCATGCCCAGAGACAAATGGGTAGCACACTCATAAGAAAAGAAGGAGGTCAATCTGGGCACACCATTTCCTAATCTTCATTGTCTTAAAGCCAGTGTGAAGAAAAGAGGAATTAAATTCACACCCATAAAGCCGAGATGTCTTGAAACAGGGAAGCCTTCCCTAACAGAAAAGCAAGTCCAAACCACATTCATACAGTGGTGCCTCGCTAGACGATGATAATCCATTCCACTGAAATCGCTGTTTAGCTAAATCATCGTCTAGTGAAAACCATTTCCCCATTGGAATGCATTGAAACCTGTTTAATGTATTCCAATGGGGAAGAATCGTTGTTGTCTAGCGAAGATCAGCCATAGGAAAGTTGCCTTGTGAATCGCTGATCAGCTGTTCAAATCGCTGTCTTGCGAAGCTTGGGTCCCGAAAACACCTGTTTTGCGAGTGCGGAGGGAGCTGTCAAAATCGTCATCTAGCGAAAATCGGTTTGCGAAGCGGGGACCAAACACTGTCGAGCGAAATTCCCCCATAGGAATCACTGTTTTGCAAATCACTATAGCGATCACAAAAAGTCAATGTCTAGCGAAAAAACTGTCATGTGGGGTAACTTTTTAGTGAGGCACCACTGTATTCTAAAATTACATGTTCTATGTTTACAACAACACATCATATCTCCCACTCGATCATCATCATCATCATCATCTGTGCCACCCTCTAGTGAGTCTCCATGACTGCACGGGGATTCAAACCCATGCAATCATGGAAACTACATAGTCCAAAAATCTAGTTTTTATCATCCACTGATGATACCCCATCTCCTTAAAGATACGTTTCTGTTTGTTCTTTGTAATCTCACCAGTTCTGCAGAAGAGTCTTGTCGACGGTTTCACAACTCTGAAGCAGACCCTTTAAAATAAAGTTCTTCTTGTTGTTTGCAATTTATTTCTCAATTTTGAACGTAATCAACTGAGGTCATAGGGAATACTTGAAGAACAAACCATATGCACTTGAACCTTTCGCTTTTTCTGACCTTGTCTCATTGCAAATGTCGCAAATGGTGTTCCCCCCCCAAGTCAATTTCTGTTGCAAAAATCTGCACTTTATAAACAAATTTGCCTATTCATTCTTGTCCCAAAGTAGAAGGCCTGTGGCTGCAGTAATCTTAGCAAACTTTCTATCCAGTATCTTTGCTCCTTCTGCTTTTCGAAGATCTCAGTAGTAGTAAGAGCAAATGACATTTCAGAAATACCCAGAAGTAGGATGTGTACTGTCTTTGAATAGTTGTGCAAAACCAGACTGTGTTGGGGTCATTTGTAAGACCATAGGGTGGAGGCCGTCGGATGGAGCAACACCCCCTTGGATCAAGATCCTTTTGTATCATGATCAGAAGTGAGAAAAAGAAAGGAAAGGAAGGAGAGTGTGTTCTGTGCCTTAGAAATGAACCTGCTTTGCCTTTCCTGCAGCAAAATCACCAGACTACAATTGTTGTTGTTAAGTCATGTCCGACTCTTCATGACTCCATGGACCAGAGCCCGCCAGGCCCTCCTATCTCCACTGCCTCACAGAGTTGTGTCAAATTCATATTGGTTGCTTCGATGACACTGTCCAGCCATCTCATCCTCAGTCGTTCCCTTCTCCTCTTGCCTTCACACTTTCCCAACATTAGGGTCTTTTCCAAGGAGTCTTCTCTTCTCATGAGATGGCCAAAATATTGCAGCCTCAGCTTCTGGATCTGTCCTTCCAGTGAATTACTGTATCCACTGATTCACTTATCCGCTGCCTGGAAATCCTAAATAAATGCCATAGAAATATGTTTTTATATGTATTATCCTACATGAATGCCATAGAAATATGTTTTTATATGTATTTCCAGGGTGTTTTTACCAGAGCAGGTTGGAGACGGTATACTGTTTGATAATTCTGTGTTTTTCGGCATCCACAGAGGAGCTTGGGAGTGGAACTGTGGATACCGCAGTCCCACTAATTATTCTGTGGCCACAGCATCCCTAATCCCCCTCGGGCCAAGCAAACTCAGTGGGGGTGGAGTAGCACTGGTAAAAGCACTTCTTAAAATATCTGATTTACATTTTTTTAAAAAACAACTGCTAGGGTCCCTATCAGTCAAATGCAATTTGACAGCATATCAGAAACACATGCACATGCATCTGGTCAATTTTTATCATCTGGCTTCATCTTTTCTGCCCCGTTGGTAACCTCATCCCCAAGCACCCTTTCGTAGCATTGCTTACACAACTTCTCTGAACGCTCTAGTCATTTCCTCTTGGAGTTTTGTACAAGACACCAAGCACAGGAGGGGAGGGGGGGGAAGTGAGGAAGAACTCACAAGCCACTTCCATCTCAACTACCTGCTCAAAGGGAGGTGTGGACGTAGGCACCAGACAGCTCTCTCGGAGCCCCAGACAGTTGGAGGAGTCAGCGTCCGACGGAGAGTTTTGGACGCCGAGACAAGGTAAGTGGAGTGAGTGAAATCTGCATGATGAGGATGAGGATGTGACCACATGACGGGTCTGAACTAGGATGGGGAGAGTGCATCTCAGGTCCCTGATTGATCGGACGGTGGAGAGGATGAAAAGGAGAAGTCCAGACAGGGCTTTGTAGGCAGACACTGAACCCTTAAGTCTTAGAGTCTGTGACAGGACTTGGTTTTGCAAAATGTGAAGTGGTAGCAGACCCCAGAAGAACTAACTACATTCTTTACTGGTCTACCGTGAAATGCACGACTGCCTCACAAGCTGAAGGAATGCCTCCCCTGTATTAGCCCGCACATGTCAATTACAGCTCCCATCATCTCCTGCCCACTGAGCAAGAAAGGACATTTTCCCGGTGCTTCGTGGTCTTCAAGGGAGGCCCATCTCCAGGTACCCACAGCAGCCCCCTGATGAGAAAATAATGGAGAAAAGTCCCCAAACCTGGAACCGCTATTATATGCATGGCGGTTGTTCTGTTCCAAACCTATTTCAGTCTGTAATTTTGTACGCCTGCAAATCTGTTTGGAATTTTGATGGGCAGAAGAGAAGATCGAGAACCCTCCGAGCAATTCTGTTCTCTTCTTGGTTTCCTTTTCCATTCCCCTTGGTAGCCCTCTTGCCCGTTTTCATGCCCCTCACACTTTTCTCCGAGAAAAAGTTATTGGATTTATTTCTAATTTATTAATTTTCTGTGTCTCTCATTGGTCCACTGAGTAGAAGGTTGCTGACAGAAATCTCTTACCTCCCTGCTTTAGCCTCAGGGCAATCCTGAGATGTATGTCAGGCAATAATCAGAGGGAGCGTCACCCTGTGAATTTCATGTGGGGATTAAGATCTAGGTTTCTCGAGTCCAACACTCCACTACGTCATGTTGGCTCCTGACGGTGCTGATGAAGCATCCCGGACAGTAGTCACACTTCTAGTACAGCAAAGTCCGATTCACTATGGTTGTAATACAGTGGTGCCTCGCTTGACGATGTTAATTTGTTCCAGCGAAATTGCTGTAGAGTGAAAACATCATCAAACGAAATAAAAAACCCATTGAAATGCATTGAAAACCGTTCATTGCATTCCAATGGGCTGAACACCTGCTTGTCCAACGAAGATCCTCCATACGGTGGCCATTTCCGGTGCCTGTAAAGTGAGGAATCCATCCTAGAAAACAGCGGGAGGGCCATTTTCTTCAGCTGGTGGTCATTTTGAAACCCGACGAAAATCGGTTCCTGAAGCAGGGAGCCAATCATCATTAAATGAAAAAAAACCATTTAAACTGTCGTTTTGCGGTTTAGGTCAGAAGCAATTTGGTGGCACATAACAATAAAGTAATTGGTGATGTGTAATTTATAGTTGGGTATGACTCCTTGGAGAGGAGTCACAGCTGAAGGCGAATGCACTTAAATCATCCCAGTAACCCTCAGTCTATTTTCACCTAAAGCATTCTACTACTGCTTTTTTATTGTGTTTATTTTGACAAGAGTATCGTTACAAGATTATGTGCTCCTGTGTTCAAAACCTAGAAATGTTAATATCTGGGCAGCAGCCCAGAGAATTCTGCAATTGCATTTTCCTAACTAGTGTGTGAGAGTGCAGGTATGTTGTTGAAATGAATCAGGAGCTGGATCAGAGGTTTTGAAGATGATTTAAGTCACATGGTTTTTGTGTCAGTGTGTGCATTTCTTGGGACAACTTTTTAATCAGGTTGTAAGCTGTGTTATATATTGGTCAAAGTGGGTACACGGGCTTTAAAACCATTGCATTTTTTGGAGCTCATCATGATCCTGACATTCAATACTGGACAAACCCCACAGACACAATTTGCTCTGACACAGGTGAGAACACCTGCCCAAACTATCATTAAAAATCACAATCAGAATTGATTCAGAATAAATAAACCCCTTGTGGGTGTTTAAGAAAACTTGCTTTCCAACCAAAACAAAGTGTACATATATTTTCACAGAAACCTAGTACAATTTAAGATTTGATGGTGGACGTTGAGAAACAGGGACAGGTGTTGAGTGTTCGACTATGCAAATAAGTAGGAGAAACAAGTTCTCCCTATGCTTTTGCAAAAAGTCGGATGTGCTGAGGACTACAAGACATGGCCTTCCTTAGCATCAGAAGCATCCATTGACCAAAAAAACATCCTTTCCTGGGCAGTCGTGCAGGTACCGAGAGGAGAAACAGCTCATAAAGCTCAGCAGAAGAACCCTAGAAGCTGCAGTAAGGTCTGAACATTATGCTCACGTTGACCACGAGTTCAAATTCCCGTCCCCTTACATGACATTTGTGCTTTTCACCAGCCTTGCTCGGCCTGCTCCTGTCCAAATATATCAGACTACAGCTGGTTTTTTGGACTACAACTTCCAGAACCTTCACACCATGGAAACATGGGGGATGCTGAAGAGTCGGTAGCCAAAGGATGCTGAAGGATGAAACCACCATCATTCCCCAAATTATATGCTACAACTTTTTAATGAATGAAGCTACCTGGGCTCTAAACATTTATAGGATAGGGAAAGGACTATTTAATTAATAACTATCTCTCCACCTATTTTTCTTCCTGTAAGATAAAGGTAATAATACTTAATGATAACTGTGTGCTGTCAAGTCGATTCTAACTTATGATGACCCTTTCTGGGTTACATGGATGCAGAATAGTTTGCTCTTCCTTTCTTCTGGGTCCTCTCTGGAATTGTACAGGTTGTCCAAGGCTACCTAGGGCATCTTTGCTCTTGGGAGGTCCAGTGGGACATTGAACTCCCAACGTCTGGCTCTGCAGTCAGGTTTCTGACTCTCCAAGCCACCCAGATAGCTGAGAGAAAGGCACACAGATGCAGTTGTGTCATTGTGTCATCCTATGAAGAAGAAAAAGATCTTCAATTCTTCAACAACAACCAGGGCCTTCACATCTAAACCAGGTTCACACTGCTGTAAAAAAACTCCCATCAACGGACACTTCCCTTCTTTCCCCATCACAAACGGTTGGCCTGTCATTTCCTTAAAAACTGGAAGGAAGTTGCCCCATGGGTTCAAAAGTACTTGAAGACTCTGTCCTTTTAGAAGAAGACAGCATCATATGTCAGTTCTGATATGAGAGAACATCTCTGGTGCAATGGAGAGGGGCAGGGGAGAGGGTCCCAAAATGCTTGATTGTTTACACAAGTCCTGCCTCCTCCCTTCAAAGTAGGTGTTGGTTTGAAGAATCTCAGCAGAGTTGTTAACGGCGGAGCCTTTTTGAGACCCCAAATTCGTAAGGTTGCCGTAAGCTGGAAACACTCCTGACAGCACATAACACAGTGGTTCCCAACTTTAGGTACCCAAATATTTTTGGACTGCTACTCCCAGAAGCCTTCACCACTAGCTTTGCTGGCAAGGGCTTCTGGGAGTTACAATCCAAGAATATCTGGACACCCAAAAGTTGCAACTATTGGCATAACACAATCATCAAGCTTCCAGATGCTTTGGACGTCATTTCCCAGAAGCCCTAGCCAGGGTGGCTAAGGGTCAGGGATGATGGGCGTTACAGTCTTAAACTTCTGTAAGTGTTTACATCAAGAGGAGAGAGTAGATATGCTGTCCTTAAGTCATGTTCTCGATGCAAGGCGTGCTCAGAGGAGGTGCACAGGGAGGAGGACAAAATATTATAAATTGTGCCTGGTAATCTGAACCAATGGAGTACTATAGACCTAATGATGCTTGGCAAAGCCAAGTATATTTCGCCTTCTTGTCTAAGCAAGTACTTGTTGAAATGTAGATTGCAACTCTTAGGTGTCACTTCCTTCCTGCTACCTCTCCTCTCCTGTCCTTTTCTTTGGATGAGATGGCCGTACATCTTCCTAAGGGTGCCAAGCATGTTGGAACTCGTGAACGCTGTCTCCAGGCTACTGCCGGGAAAAATGCAGCTTCAAGGGCTACACCGGAGAGAGCCCCCGAACTTCAAAACCTGCAGAAAGGGATGGGGGCTCCAAAATGGCTGATTGTGGCCAAAAAAGGACTCTAGGGCTATAGTTGACTTCTTGAGGACCTCAAGAAGGAGTTCCACAGGACTTACCAGATGCAAAAAACAATAAAAACAGAAGCACCTATGCAGGCACTTCCTGTCTGGCTTTTTAAAAAGAGACCGTACCCAAATACATGGCCAGATACTGATTTTAGTACCTATTGAACTGCTAGATAGCTCAGTGGTTTAAGAATCTGAGTTGTAGAGCCAGAAAATGAGAGTTCAGTTCCGCACTGTGCCTCTGATGCTCGGCTTCCTTCCAGCTCTGCAGTTCTAGCGCAAATTATGCTACATTACACATGATCTTAACTCCGCCGCCGATAAGCTTTCTGCTGTTATCTCCACTGCAGCCCGCCAAAGGCTTAGAAGGATGAAAAATGGCCCCCTCCAATTGTTTGAAAGAGAAATAAGGAAGGATTAGGTAATTGCGGTTTGTGGGTGGAAAGCAACTTTTATGTGTTCACTTAGGGCAGAGCTTATGTCCCAGGAATTATTCTCTGTGCCAGCATCTTTCTGGAGATGAAATACCACAATGATCATCTTGGTTAGCATTTATAATATGGCTGTCAGTAGGACACTGTAGGTATGGGAGTCATGCATCACACGACTCGTTGTTGGGTCTGATTCAAGTTGCACTGGAAACTTGGCTTAGGCTCAATTTGGAGGTTTCTTGGGGGCCTTGGCACTTGACTCACAACTCGGGAGTCATGCGTCGCACGACTCGCTGTTGGGTCTGATTCAAGTTGCACCGGAAACTTGGCTTAGGCTCAATTTGGGGGTTTCTTGGGGGGCCTTGGCACTTGACTCACAACTCGGACCCATTTGTCCGAGTTGTGTTGTTGACTCCCTATGCGCTTGCCTGCTGTCGCCCCTGCCATCTTCAGAGGCTCCTGCCTCTGCCAAACACGCACCGCCTTGCTGATAGGCCTTCTGTCTTTGCGCATGCGCTAACCTATCAGCTGGTGTGGCGCATGCGCAGTCCGAGCTCCAAGTCTTGGAGGGGTGAGGCCAAAGGCTCGGAAAACCCAGACCTCGGGCTTGGGATTCGATACCTAAGACTCGTACTAAGACTCAAAAGCTCACACACAGATTTGGGACCCACACTCAAAGACTTGTCAACTTCCCATCTCCGCTGACAAATTACAACCTTGAGGATCTTGAGATATAGGGAGAGGATAAAAAATAAGTGGAGTTCTGTCCGTGCTTCTCACCTCTCTGTTTTCTCCCCATACAGTTCTTCCTCTGTGTCTGACTTCCAAATGGACCATGAATAAATCGAGCACAAGCTCAAACGAAACGATGCTTCAAGGAGCAACTCTTGGCCAAGCTGTCCTCTCGCTCGCCTTCATCCTGGGTTTCCCCGGCAACACCTTTGTTGTATGGAGTGCGTGTTGTCTGGTCCGCAAGCGGACGGTCACCTGTCTCCTCATTCTTCATTTAGCCATAGCGGACTTAGCAGTGCTGCTCACTGCCCCTGTATTCCTGCGGTTTCTGAGCGCCGGCAAGTGGGAATTGGGAGAAGGTGTATGCAAAGCGTGTCATTACATCAGTGGGGTCAGCATGTACGCCAGCGTCTACCTCATTGCCCTCATGAGCTTGGACCGCTGCTTGGCGATCTCCTGGCCCTTTGTCTCGCAGAAGATCCGCACACGAAGTACCACCCGGGTATTGGTGGCGGCTATCTGGGTGGCTGGCGTCTTCTTAGCCATCCCTGTCCTCATCTACCGGAAGGAAGTATTGAAGAACGAAAGGCTTTTTTGTGTGCTCTACCACCCCAAACCCAAACATTTGGTCTTCCATGCTCTCTTTGAAACCATCACTGGATTCGTGTTGCCTTTCGTCGTCATCATCTATAGCTACGGGAGCATCGGCCGACGGCTGAAGGAGACACGTTTCCGGCGGAAGCGGCGGACAAACCATCTCATCGGCCTCATTGTGGGCGCCTTTGCTATTTTTTGGCTGCCTTACCACGTGGTCAACCTTTTAGATGTGACCGCTGTGTGGAGTAACTCCCAAAAAGTCCTAAAAGCAGGCAAGATGGCTAGACCTGTTTTAGTGGCTTTTGCTTTCTTCAGCAGTAGTGTGAATCCCATCCTCTACGCTTTCAGCGGTGGCTCCTTCATTCGCTCGGCTGGCTTTGGCTTTATGGCCAAACTCTTTGAAGGAACAGCTTCGGAGATGTCCAGCGTCAAGCATGGCACCATGCAAGACCATCAACGCCGAGGAGACTCTAAGAACAAACCTTTAAATAACGGGAGTCCTGAGTTGTTGACTATGTCTACTCACCCAACAAATAGTGGGTCATCTCAAGAACGTGGAGAAGCTTCTCAACCTCTCAAGTCACCTTGAAGACCTAGTAAAGAACAGAATGGATGGTGGATACTCATGATTTGATTGTCATTCTCTTGATTTTTTCTGTGCTGCATAAAAGATCTTTCTGTCTCATTGACGTTCAACCCTGGTTCCATGTCTCCATATTTTGTAATTCATGCCAGCTGTACTGATTTTGTTGAAAGGGATAGCTGTTTATAAGAGATAGAGGGCATTAAGCATGTACAGAATCTTTTTCTGTGTTTACTCCTACCTATACATCTAAGTAGAGAAAGATGTATCAAGCCCATTTTGTGGACAGGAAATCCTCTCCCCTCCCCCTTCTTTCCTTCCTTTCAGAAATTCACCACAAATTCTGACACAGCAGAATGTTGCATGTGCCTTCTGCAGTTGTGTTCTAGACCTGAAAATCAAGACAATGCTCAAGTAAATGCTTGCAGGGGAGATTAAATAGTTTATTGGATGAGACAAAGCGAGGAATATTGCCTCACGAAATGTGTGGGAAGACAAAGCTTAACACTGTAACAACCTCCCTCTTGTAAATTCACTTTCTACTGTTCTTTCCCTTTTGTTAGTGTTTTAGACCTCATTCATTCACCCTTGTGGTACAGTGGTTAAACTGCAGTACTGCAGGGAAGACTCTGCTCACGATCTGAGTTCAATCCTGTTGAATCTCAGCTATCCGGCTCAAGGTTGACTCAACTTTCCATCCTTCTGAGCTTGGTAAATTGAGTACCCAGCTTCATTCATTCATCCTCATGGTACACTGGTTAAACTGCAGTACTGCAGGGAAGACTCTGCTCACAATCTGAGTTCAATCCTGTTGAATCTCAGCTATCCGGCTCAAGGTTGACTCAACTTTCCATCCTTCTGAGCTTGGTAAATTGAGTACCCAGCTTGCTGCAGTGGTATATAAGTAGCACAACTTTCTTATTGCTTTCTTATTAGTGGTACTGGTGATCATGGTTGAGCCTAGAGGTTCATCTCTGTTGGGGTTTGCTTTCTTATTATTGGTACTGGTAATCATGGTTGAGCCTAGAGGTTCATCTCTGAAAAGAAAACTGGTAGGGAGGAAGGATGGACTGACAAGAAAAATGCTAAAACTAACATCTTGTCTCATCCCTTCCAGGCAAGTTGCTTCATCCCAAAGATATTAGCAGAGCCAGCCCTAACAGGAGGTAAAATGAGCCAGTTGTCTCGAGCAGCAGATCCGGGAAGGTGACAGCACCATGTTGGAGTGAGAAACCAATGTAGCTTGTAGCTTGTCCAAAGCGTGCTGCCTTCAATTCAGAGGAAAGGCGCAATCCCATTGTTGGTGCTGAGAAAAAAAATGCAGGCACCAATCTCACAGAGTTTTGTACCCAGAGTGGGAGAGGCCACCATCTTGTCCATTTACTAGAAATGGGGAAAGTCAATGCTTTTAGGTTTAGTACCAAGAATCTGAGCCAATGTGGCAGACGTCGATGGTAGGAAGGTAAAGCTAAATGTTCCCCTTGACAATTTTTGTCCAGTCGTGTTTGACTCTAGGCGGTAGTGCTCCTCCCTATTTCCAAGTCATAGAGCCAGCATTTGTCCAAAGACAATCTTCCTTGGTCACATGGCCAGTGTGACTTAGACACAGAACACGGTTACCTTCCCACCGAGGTGGTCCCTATTAATCTACTCGCATTTGCATGCTTTTGAACTGCTAGGTTGGTGGGAGCTGGGACAAGCGACGGGCGCTCACTCCGTCACGTGGATTCGATCTTACGACTGCTGGTCTTCTGACCCTGCAGCACAGAGGCTTCTGCTGTTCAACCCGCAGTGCTAACACGTCCCTATATGGTAGGAAGGGATCCTGCAAACGTCTTAACTTTTCCAGACTTTACAACTGAGGGCACAACCTCAGTGGTAAATTCAACCCCCTCACAGTCTATGGACAATGAATGGAAGTGACCAACAGGCGTTCCTAACCTTGGGTAACCCCAGTGTTCTTGGACTGCAATTCCCAGAAACCCTGGCCAGCAGAGCTGGTGGCGAAGGCTTCTGGGAACTGCAGTCCAAGAACCCCTGGGTTACCCAAGGATGGGAAAAAATAACTTAGAACTAACCTCACCATGACCTGACTTTATGCCAGAATAGTGGCTGCGCCCTATGTGGACTGGAGGATGCTTCGACCTGCCATTACTCATCCCCCCCATGCTCTGCCTCTTTCTTCCACCATGTTAACAGCATTACAGCTGTCAGAAAAGCTTAACAATTGACCTACCATCTTAAGCAGCTTCTGCCTATTTCATAAACAGATGCATCATTCAGGCAGTATTACACACACACACACACCGACAGTCAAGGTTGGGTCTTACGTTGGCTCTTGACTTGGAAGATGGGGTCATCGGGAGCCTCCTTGCCCTTATATTATAAAATATAGTTTGCTCATTACTGCATAGTGGTGGGGAAACTAATATAGTGTATGTTTTCACTTATATTGCTTGTGAACTCTCCGGTTCCATAAAAAGGCATATACTGTATATATATGTTTGTAACCTTTAATAAATATTGTGTATTCTAGGAAAAAAATTAAAGCATGTCAATGGTGGTGTGATGTAAACAACAACAAAAACAACAACCAAAAAAGCAACAAAAACAATGAAGAAATGTCTGGATCATTGACATTGCAATTTCAGGGGATGCCAGAGTTGAAAATAAAGAACTGGAAAAGCTGACCAAGTTCAGAAACCTGGCAATCGAAACATCTGGCCTGTGGAAGAAACACACTTCAGTGGTCCCTGTAGTCATTGGGGCTTTGGGAACAATATCAAGAAAGTTCACACGGTACTCTAAGCGGTTGCAGATCTCAGAAATCACACCATTAGAGCTACGAGAAATGGGAATATTAGGAACAGCATACATACTGCATCCATATTTAACAGATACTTAGGTTTTTGGTTAAAACTTGTATCCGTTATATAATACCAGCCAATGTTTTTATGATGTTGACTGTGTCTGGTGTTTCTGAATAACGATAACAATAAATGTGCTGGTGAAGTCAATTCTGACATGTGCCAACAACACTTTTTAGAACTTTCCAGATAGAGAATACTCAGAAGTAATTTACCATTCCTTTCTTCTGGAGCTGCCCGGGGACTTTGCAGCTTGCCTAAGGCCATAGAGGCCAGGTCTTCTCTCTGGAGGCACAGTGAAGGATCGAAGTCCTAACTTCTGACTCTGAAGCCAGAGATCTAAATCACTAAATAAGCTTTCATTGGCTGAAGTAGTAGCATAGAATTCATTGCCAGTTTGATCTCCCTGCATTTCGACAGACAAACATTTATCCTGAACAGAGAACCCGGGAAAGTGATCTAACCTCGATTGCCGTTCTTTAGACACATAATTCATCATGGCAACTATAATATATTGCAATACGTCATTGAAAGGAAGATTAAGGCTGAATTCTGAAGAAGTCAAAGATGAGTTTCTTGGAAAAGTAACACTGGAGACGGGTTGGACCTTAATGAAGTACAACAGCTCCATTGCTCAGTGCTTTAGTTTTCTGGCTGTGGAGCCAGAAGCTGGGAGTTTGATGCCTCACTGTGCCTCATTGATAGGGGCTGGAACTCAATGATTCATAGGCTCCCTTCCAACTTTGCAGTTCTCATATTATATTATATTAATCCACACAGCGGAGGTGGAGGGAGATTTGCCATGGTAATCCACCTCAGCACCCAGAGAGGGTGAGATCACACTTCTTTGGCTGGCAGTCCTTAAGTAATCAAAACAGTGCCACCTACACACAAGATGGAGCTGTCAACAGTTTCAGGAGAACCTTAAGGTTTGCAGAACTTCTGCAGGCCACTCAGAAGAAACCGCAATAATGCTGGCTTGTTCCAGACGTTAAAAAAGAATTCACCCGACAGTCTCATTCATCATCTTGTCCTTTGCCTCCCACTTCCAGATCCAACTTTTGTGCATTCAAAGACCACACAAGAAACACAGAGATACACCATTTTTAAAAAGAACCCATAGAATGACCTGTACTTTCCTTCCCAAAAAGAAAAGGACGTTAGTTTTCCAGAGAGACGTTTTGTGCGGTTTGTCGCTCTCAGACTGGAGGAGAGGCTCTTGACGACCTTGCAGATTCCTAGCTGAAATAACCGATTGCATTGAGATAGTCTCCATCGATAAGAATGAAAAATTTGGGACGTGTTCCTCACACTCCTTGTCCCACATTTTCACCTTTTCATGCATGGAACTTTCCTTCCATTTCTCCTCACGCTAAATGAGGAATACAGTGGCGAGGAAAGATCAAATAGTATCTCACTATCTCAAGGCCAAAGGTTGACAGCTGTTTGAGTTTCCATGTAAAAGAGGCAGGAAACCACTCCCTCAGCAGATTAACCTCTTGGGACACATTATTACACAAATAAAAGAGTTTGAATTCTTTATTTGTGTATTAATGTGTCCCATGTGGCTGATCTGTTGAAGGATTGGTTTCTTGCCCTTTTGCACAAGGACACGCAAAAAGCTGTAAATTTAAGTATGCCAGATTTGCTTCCTGGGGGCAAATCTTCTTCCTTCCAAACAGAGAAGGATAAATCTCATTCTGAGAAGGCACCTTTTCTTTTTGGAGCATGGAAATTTCCATGTTTGGAAATTCCATTGTCTGCTTTTAGATATACATGAACAACAAACATTTTTATGGCTACTAAAAATCTGAAAGGTTTACGTGGCGTAAGTTTTCACGGACAGCAGTCCCTAACTGTCATGTCACAACTTGATGATCAATAGGGCCACTTCTAGCTCTGCAGTTCTAAGATGGTAATGATGATGTGATGATGACTTGTTATTTTTACCTGAACATGTTAACATGGTTACCACTTGTTGGAATGCAAGCGGTGGCAGTGTTTCTAGAAGATACTCAGTTATGACGACTGTGGGAAACAGTTCGGGTTTTATATGTTCTGCTTACAGCACAAGACAGGAGCAATATTTGAGCTCAAAAACACATCTCATCCTACTTTGCATTTCACTCACAGCTGAAACAATGGTGTCGCTCTAGTTAGGGTGCACAGAACACAGATTTAAAAACAAAATAACGAGACAACGATGTGATTTGCCACTCCTCTCCAACTGCCTTTTTTTATCTGAATTTAGGACCAGAGCACGCCAGGCCCTCCTGTCTTCCACTGCCTCCCAGAGTTCGGTCAAATTCATGTTGGTCGCTTCGATGACCCTGTCCAACCATCTCATCCTCTGTCGTCCCCTTCTCCTCTTGCCCTCACTCTTTCCCAGCATCAGCGTCTTTTCCAGGGAGTCTTCTCTTTTCATGAGATGGCCAAAGTATTGGAGCCTCAGCTTCATGATCTGTCCTTCCAGTGACAGTGACACACACAATACAGTTAGCTAAAAAAAATAGCTAAAAATAATTCCTCCTCCCGTTTCCTGTCTTGCCTCTTTTTTCTATTCATTCCTCTACCACCTAAACCAAAGAGAGATCATTCAGGCGAAAGAAGGAAGATAAACTGATCATAATCTTAGGACTGCAGAACAAACAAGTAAGACGCTACCTCTGTGTCTTGGAAAGGAAAAGCACTAACCACCCGCTTTTATTTTATTTTATTATATCAAAGAACACTCCAGATCCCATCCTTTCTCTCTTTGCATAAACCATTTTGGTTCAGAGGTTCTACACACGAAACATCCCAAGCATGCACATAACAGACCGGAGATTAAAACTCAGCCATGTGAGGGTGGCGGAGAGGACTGTCTGGAGGCGACAACACCAATAAATAAAGTAAATGAAACCAAGCATTGCTTTTAAGACCATTAGCACTTAAATTGGGTTCTTTCCCCATCTCTAATTCTGATCATTTTCACTCCCCTGCCCTGTAACTTGGAGGAGACTGATCAGGATGCTGGGATCCGAAATCAGCTGCTCAACCTAGGTGGATGAAATGCTGAAAATGCAAGTTATTTAGAGGTTGGGTGGAGCCCCCTTACCCCCAAAGGAAGGGTTTGAAATCTACCTGATTTTCATGGTTTAAAGTTGAAAGTGATTTGGGTGATGGTTGGTCTTAAGGACAAGGGAAAATTGGAAGTGGCAGAAAGTTCTGAGAGTCAGATTTCTTTCTTAAAGGTATTAGATTTTCCTTCTTAAATCCACTGAAGGAACTACAACCTGACTCCATTCTAGGAACAAAGGGGAGAGGGCCTTCCTTTCTTTTTTGCATCATTATCCTCATTATTTTGGGTGGTCTGGCATGCTAGCTACCTTTTTGTTATTCCCCCCCTCCCTTTTTCCTTTTTCCCTTCTCTCCACCACCTCTGGCATCCTCACCATCTCTCCTTCTCCTCCAGGAAGGAATGACAGCATCTCTATTTCAAGGTTGGGCATTGATGGGCATGTTAGACTGATCTCTCCCTTTTTGATACATTTCAAATTTTAGCCAGCATAACTCTCTGCCACTGGCCTGGTTGTTATCTGCTGGAGAAGGATGGCTTTTGCCTCCCTCTCTTCTCCCAATCAGACTCTCATGAACGGCTTCCCTCTCTTTCTCTCCCTGCCTCCCATTAACAAGAAACTTCTTTCCTTCCTTTAAAATAAGAATGACAAATGAGATACATTGGAGGTATCAGGTGTGTCATGCTAAGTAGATGTATTGCTGTTTCGCTATGTCACTCCTGGAGGTATCAGGTGCGCCATGCTAAGTACTGTAGATGCATTGCTGTTTCGCTATGTCACTCACTTTATTTAACACACTAAAAAAACCCCGAACATCGCCATGACTTGCTGAATGATGTCCACGAGAAGAGGCGGAGAAGACGGAAGGAAGGGGGGTGTCATTATTTGAAAAGGGGACACACAGGAGTGATCCAAAACCTGTCTGAACTCTTCTCATGGCAGAAGAAATGTTGATCAGTGTGAACGGAAAAATCACTCATATGAGAGATAAAATAAATCATATTAAAGATTAAAAAAACCTCTTGTGTGTAAACCAGGCCACTGCAAATTCCCCTGTCCAGATGTGCCCAAAGTCCACCATGGTAACAGAAAAGCCTAGAGGAACACTGGCTGCTATTTATCATGGTGACAGGGCTGGCTTCTTTCTTGAAATAGGTCATTTCTTCTTAAGTCATTTCACCTACTTCACATGAACTTGATGTGCCAGGTACAGTACAATGTGCCTTCCACATCCACGGCTCCTCTAAAGCCTCCTCTTACTTCCACTCCATGATGTCTTGTTACAATGTGTCTTCCACATCCACGGCTCCTCTTACTTCCACTCCATGATGTCTTGGACACACATCTTGAGCCAAGCATGGAGCACAAAGGCTTGCACGGAATCAAGTCCTAGAGAGGTCAGTGACAAGGAAGTCTCCTGCTGCCCCCAAATGGTGGGAAGAAGAACAACTGTGGTCCACAGGAAATTCTATCCCTCAAGAGTTCAGTGCTTATCACAGTTACATTTCACAGGAGTCAGCTCAGAATTGGCACTTGGGGCCCAGATCGGACTGTGTCGGTACAGACAAAGTATGTTCGCAGTTGCCCTTTGCCCTTCACCTTGATGACCCCACGTAAGGAGCAGGGATACCCCAATGTCTCTAGAACCTTGGCTGTTTCCTCAGTTACCTACAAGAAGAGAAGGAAAGCATAAAAGAAAGGAGTGTTTAAAAAAAGAAGAAGTAAGAATAATGAGGTCTCATCCAGGTCTCCCTTGGAATATACTCTCCCAATAGTAACGAGGAGAGTCGTGTTGAATTCAGTCAAAAGCTTGTCTAATGGCCTGCTATCCTGTTTCCAACAGCTAGAACCATTAGGTCAGCGTGCACACCAGCCGTAAAAGCCTTATGACTCTCTCTGACCTGTGGCAGATATTCACACACTATATGAAGGGTCCATTTGGATATCATTACTTAGATTGATTGGTACACCTCCTTTCAACCCTCCCCTCAACTCTTTATTAGGTTTACAGTTAGGAGCATGGGACAGTTAGGCTAATGTAAAGGTTCCCCTTGAAATTTAGTCCAGTCATGTCTGACTCTAGGGCACAGTGCTCATCCCCGTCTCCAAGCCGTAGAGCCAGCGTTTGTCCGTAGACCATTTCTGTGGTCACGTGGCCAGTGCAACTAGACACAGAACGCTGTGACCTTCCCACCGCGGTGGTACCTATTTATCTACTTGCATTTTTACATGCTTTCAAACGGCTAGGTTGGCAGGAGCTGGGACAAAGTGATGGGAGCTCACTCCGTCACATGGATTTGATCTTACGACTACTGGTCTTCTGACCCTACAGCACAGAGGCTTCTGTGGTTTAACCCGCAGCGCCACCACATCCCTGTTTTGGGGCAGTTAGGTGAATGCAACAATGAAATTAGTCCAGAGAATCAAAAAGAATAGAGAGTACTGCTTTGAAAGGCCCTTACCTGTATTTTGCTCAGCACACCTGTGCTCTCCATCCGACTGGCCACATTCACTGTGTTCCCCCAAATATCATACTGGGGTTTTTGGGCTCCGATCACCCCAGCTACAACCGGGCCATGGTTTATACCTGGAAGAGAGACCGTAGGGTTGGATCACAGATCCTTCATGGACAAGAAATTAGAGAATGAGGACGAGGATGGTGACTTTAGCTGTGTTTTTGCACGGATTCCACTCAATTCTGAATAAAAACACAGTTAAAAGTCACACATTACAAATATTGACAAACAGAAGTCTAGAATCATAAATTACACAAACCTCAAATACTTGTTTGTTCTCCCAGTCATTCTGGAAATGCTTAGAAGTCTATTCATTACCTTCTCCAGTCAAAAACAATTGAGCTGATAAGGAAAGCCAACTCATTCATTCATTCATTCATTCATTCATTCATTCATTCATTCATTCATTCATTCATTCATTCAACCTTTCTCCTTGAAAGCACTCAAGGCAGCTTACATCATTAGACAAGATGTTACTTAAAAGGTAAAAATAAGTGTACAAAGAGTTTAAAAAAGAATTAAGCAAGTATTAAATTAAAAAGGAACAATAAAATTGACACTAAAAACACATATTTTAAAAAATCCATTAAAAACTATCTCTCAGCTTCCTAGTTACTAAGGTACATCCTGCTTGAAGAGAAAGGTGTCCAGTGGCAGGGAGTTCCAGAGTCCGGGAGCAACAACAGAGAAGGCCCTCCCCCATGTCCTCAAACAAGCACACCTATGAGTGTGGGGGGGGGGGCAAGAGAAAGGCCTCTCCTGACAATCTTAATTCCTGGAGAGGCTCAGAGAGGGAGATGCAGTCTTTTAAATAGGTTGGATCCAACCCAAGTTGACTTGAGGTATAAAACCTGAATGGTAGTGTGTGGGGTTTTTTTTTAAGTGTTTGAGAAGTGCTGCAGAAAAGTAGGTTTGTTTGGGATTTAGCAGAAGAGCGCATTCCAAAGTCACCCATACTCACCCGCACGAAGCTTAAAACTGTTGAAAGAATGCTTGTTGATAATGTCCAGCTTGGCCACCAGCGCCATGGCAAACTCCACCATGGTCCCCAGGTGGGTGTAGCTTTGCTCGCCGTCCTGCAGGGACAACCCATAAACCCATAAACAGTTCATTGAAGAATGAAAGCAAACTGAAATAAAGAGACTGAGATACATCCAAATGACACTAAGAGGAAAGGAACCAGGCCAAATTAGTAATGATTAAGAGGCAATTAGAAAAAAAGAGTATTATGTGTAAGGTTACGTTACTGGAGACCAAAAACCACATTTTTGCATTTCTGATCAACCATGTATGGGTGTGAAAGCTGGAGAATTAAGAAAACTGATGGAGGGGGGGGGGAATGATTCACTTGAAATGTGGTGCCTTTACGGATACCTTGGATGGCCAGAAAGACCAACAAGTGGGTCCTAGATCAAGTCAAGCCTGAACTATCTCTTGAGGCAAAAAAATGTTGAAACTGAAACTGTCCTACTTTGGGCACCTCAGGCTAAGGCAAGATTATATCAGAAATAGAATAATGTTGGGAAAAGTTGAAGGGAGCAGGAAAAGAGGAAGATCCAATATGAGAATAAATGATTCTGTAAAGGAAGGCACATGTTTACAAGACCTGAGCACAGCAGTTAAGTACAGGGCATTTGGGAGAACGTTTATTCCTAGGGTTGCCATGAGTCAGAAGCGACAGGACATAACAACACCACAGAGGCAACAATTGGCGATCCATCCACTTGGCTACCTCAGAGGAAGAAGTGAGAAGGTGAGACATCCTCCATTACATAGGCTGAGAACACCCACTCTTTAGCTTCTCTTTCCTCAAAATTGTCTCCATCTGTGTCCCAGAGAAGCCGAGGTAAACACCTGACTTACGTCTGGGAAACCTCAGACTCTTACATCTGAGGAAGTAGACTTGTCCACCAAAGCTCACATTAAAATATAGCAGGTAAGTGACACAATGTCTGTCTTCTTTATTTTTTTATTTTTATTTTTTGGCCTGATATACCTGACTTATGGGGACTCTGAGAGGGTTTTCCAGGTATGAGATATCTGAGGAGTGAGTTCACCAATGTCACTCCCCAGTGAATTTCCATGGCCAAGTAAGGATTTGAACTCAAGTCTCCCGAGCAGAGGTCTGACACTTGACCCACTGCTCTCACACTTAATAGTGGACTCATTGAAATCAATCTGACCTAAATCAGATGAAATAGAGACAACATCCCATTTACAGCAAGAATCTGAACAAAATACCCCCTTTTTTTTTAAAGACACTTGTCATGCGGGTGAGGAAATCCCATAATTTAAAATTCCTTAATTTGAAAAACACTGTTATCTTCAAATAGATCCAATTTCTATGACAAGGACAACAAAGAAGAGTTTTTGTTTTTTTCAAAAATGCTTATTGACCTCGGCCCTTTTAAGCCTTTGTTAATACTGGTTTTGATGACATTGACAGAAACTGTGACATATTTTTGTGCCAGTGGGAAACTCCCACTGTCGTGGTTTTAACCTCAAACAACGCTTTTTAATTAGACTGTGGAAACAATGGCATCTCTTTCCCAGCATGAGTACAATACTGCAACAACAGAATTTGTTTATGATGAACTCAAATGTATAAACTCCCAAGCAATATGACTATTATTGCCAAGGCTGATAGCTGGCCCTGCTTTTAAGTAATGTGAGTTAACCACAGGGGTAGCCACTCGCTCTACCAGTCTTCCTTTGAGTCCTCTAGCCTTTCCCATCTGTGGCAGGTCAGACTGCCAGTTACACATCATAAACCACTTGACAGCTGTTACTGGTGGTAGAAAACAAGGATCCATTGTTAATTTTGAAGCAAAATTCAGCTGTTGGTTCCAATCACTTCTATATGTGGAACTTGAGTATCAAGGGGGGTGCCATTTCCCCTCTTTTTTGCCTCACAAAATCATAGACGTCCCTCAAGCATGGCCAGGAGAGGGGAATTTGGCAACCCTCAATGAATCATGCAATGACCAAGTGATAAGTCTGCAAGAGGGTGATAAGCCTTGAGGAAGCAAATCTGGACAATGGTTCCATGAGAGCAAGATACCAAATTTCTATCCCACAAGAAGATTTAAGAGCTGGGAGACAGCACCCAAAAAGGAAGGAAGGTGTCACCTGTTGGTTATCCTGGCTGGCTGCCATGTTTAAACCGGTGGCTGCCATGTAGGTGCTGCCGATGGTCTTGATTTTCTCCACCCCGCTGAACTTGGGCTTCAGGAGAAGCTGGTGAAAGACACGGAAGGTGGTTGTTTATTCTAAGAGTTATTGACCTAAAAATGTCCCCCCTTTCTGGGCCACAACTAGCCCACCATTTTCTCCAGAGGTGGTTAATCAAATGTCAATTGCATGCTCACAGGGGGGGGGCTATGAAGTCAAGGAGGCTATGATGTCAAGAAATACATAAATGTAGAAAGAGGAGCAGGATGCGGGCAGGACACCAATGTTGAGAGGTACGTCGGCTTCAGGGTCAATGTATTCTTCAATATTTTTCCCTTTTCACCTGTAGCCTCCATTGGGAAAAGAGGGGGCATGATTGGGGGGGGGAATCGTGCGACCCATCCTTTCCTGCTCATCACAACACCAGTCTTCAAGTGACTGAGGGCCTATTATTTACAAATAACTTCCTTGAAACGGAGCGTCAAGTTGTGAAGGCTCTTCAGATGTACCAGGGCTTCTTTTTAGC